AATTCATTCAGCATTCCTATTTCGAGTTTGCCACAGTCACACAAACCATTGTATTTCTAATTCATAGTTTGGGAGCTGTATTTGCTTTAATTCACATATGTAATTTCAGGCGGAATTTGCTTCTAAGACCCTCTGAACTTAAGTGGTTAATGTTGTTAATCAGCGTCAATTAAGACTAAATTAGGTTCACAATTCAAACTATTTCACGCTTAAGGATTCAACCTCCGCGTAGAAGCTAAAACGCAACACAGTTCCCCTTTTTTGTGTCTAAACACCTAAATATACCTATGATATAAAGGATCTACTCATGAAAAAACAGTTAAATAAGCTCTTACTTTCAGTATGCCCGTCTTGCACTCCATGGACAGCTCCTTGTATCCCTTCTCTTCCAGTTCCCATGCCCAGGTGCTGTTGAACTCCTGGCATATCTGCAACCAAAACAAAACAAAAACCATAAATTACCAGATTGGCAACAAACCAGGAAGGACTGAAACCACCCATTGAGCAAATAACTAAAGATCTTAAACCACATCTTCCCTGACGAATAATGGCTGAGAATCTGTTCTCATCATCCACACAGACAACAGTGTGCAGAAATCCTCCTCTGTGTCCGTTTAATATTATTAAAAGATGCAAAAACACTGATAGTAAAGCAAAAACTTTAGAATAAAAATGCTTAGACCACAGATGTACAAGGTACAGCTTCAGAATAAAATCTTAGTTTTGTTTTCACTCCTGAAACAGATCAGACGCCTTTTCCCTCCTTTTAGTTCAGGAAAATAAATTACAAATTACAGAAATTATTTCTAAAATGTATATTTCCAGCATCCATTGAGAAAGCTGAACTGAATTTAAAAAGCAAGACTGTATTACTTCTGTACAACAAACATGGTGGATTGCTGACATGGTAAACAAAAATATAAGGTAAAGGCAGAACCAGCCTATAAAAGAGGAAAATTATAGATAAGCTCATCAGGAAGGTCGGCTCCTAGCTCTCCTAGGATGCCCCCTGGAGACAGTGAAGGTGAAGGAGCGATAAAGAGCTCCGAGAAAGATCCCACATCTATTGGACGACGGTACCGTCCCATGCAGGAGGCAGCTGGAGACCTCCCAGGAGCACAAAGGAGCCCTATCACAGATCCTTTCCTCCTGGCGGCTGTTGGACGTCATAGCTCCTGACAAACTAAGGATTCGTATAACTGCTATCTATGCATTTGTTAAATGGTCTATTTATGCATTAATATACATAATGCACATATCAGTTATTAGAAA